AGGCCGCCTTGGGCGCACCGTCCACTTCTTCCTCTGTTGGCGTGCTGTCGAGTGTGGCACCTTGCACTTCGCGCGCGGCTGCGGTAACGGCGTCATCACCGCCATCGTTGTGCTCTTCATGCGCCTCTTCCTCTGCTGAAGTTGGTGCGTCTTCTTTCATTTGCTGTGGCGGTGCTTCCTGTTGTGGAGTGGCATTCGGCTCTGGCTGCTCAGCTGGCTTTGTTTCCGTCGGCTCCGGCTGATCTAGCGCTTCGCTTCTGGCCTCCGACGCAGGTGCAGGCGTTTCTGGTGTTGACAGCTGCGGGTGGTGTGGCTCTGCCGCCTCCTTGTCCACCTCGTTGAGCTCACTCTTAATCTCTGCTTGTGCTGATTTTGCCGCTGGCTTCGGCGCCGGCGCTGGGGCTGCGGGCTTTGGCTGCGTTGTTGTTGGAGCTAGCTTGGGCTTGACAGCGGGGCGGTGGCTGGGCGTCGTTCGTCCGCCACGGCGCACAGTCAGCGTGAACGGCTCATGGAGGGCAGAGATTTGTTTGACAACGGCCGCCAGCGGTACGCTGGAGGACACGTCGCTATCGTTGATCCTGATGACGCGATCATCAGCACAGAGGCCGCTCGCAGCTGCCACGCCATCTGCACGTCAACCCCAAATTCACGCACACGCACACACGCACACGCACGCGTATGGAAAAGTGGTGAGAAGTAAAGAGGGACAAGGGAGCCGCGTCAAGCGAGAGGATGTACCCGTGTTGAGCAAAAACAAGCAACCGTGCACTGCGATCAATCTAGAGTGGACAGTGGTCATGTGCTGTGTTGTTGCGATGCCTCGCTTGCACATGCACGGCGGATCAAGCAGCGATGCGTGATGATGATCTGCACCGATCTTACCTTGGCTGAGGCTGGAGATGATGTATGGAGCCCCTGCACCAGTGAGCTTCATCCCAAGCTTCTTCCCTGCTGCGGGAGTGACGGTGCACTCCACAGTCTCGACTCCATCCGCCATGGTTCCAAAGGTGTGGGTGGGGGTTGCGATGTGTGTTGGCTGGCTGGGTGGTGTTTGTGTGTTTGCGACACCAGCTTGCTTGGTTCTTGTTTTGGCAAAATTGCACACAATGGTTGTTGTTGTTGTTGGTGTTGTTGTTGTTGGTGTTGTTGTTGTTGTTGTTGTCGTCGTTGTTGTTGTTGTTGTTGTTGTTGTTGTTGTTGTTGTTGTTGTTGCCAGCGCATCATGTCATGTCACAACACGTCGCACGTCTCCTCTCTCTCCATTTCACATCTCACATGGTGTCATCTCTTCATTGTGTACGTGTTGCTTCCTCCTTTGCGTGAAAATGAGAAGGGTGAGAGACAGACAGAGAAGACACACGGCAGCCAAGCAAGTGTGCGGTTCCACAATAGGGGGCTGAAACACTGTGATTACACGGTGGATAAACTGGTGGTATGAAGAAGAAGAAGAAGAAGAAGAGCAAGCTGCTGCTGATGATGATGATGAGGTGACAGGATAAAGAGGACAAATCCAAAACCAAAAGGAAAGCAAGAAAGCAAGCAAGCAAGCAAGCAAGCAAGCAGGACCTGTGCAGCGATCTAATCGAGCGTGACTCCCGTCCCCCTCAACCCACACACAGTCACAAATACACCCGCCCACTCACACAGTCACAACCACACAACCACACAACCACACACATAAACACAGTCACAAACACACACACACACACACACAGAGTCACAAATACACACACACATTCCCCACCCCTCTCTCCTTCCCTCTACACTTCGCTGTGATGAATCTCGGAGATAAAGTCGGAGTGGCTATCGTCGTCCTCGGAGGGCGGCGCGGGCGCGGGCTCAAACATAAACGCATCGTCGTCGTGCTTGCTGGAATCACTCGACACCATCGACGTGGCTGTAGCGGCGCTGCTGGTGCTCGCCATGGCAGGTCGACTGCCGTTCGCTCCGCCCGGTGTGCTCGCTGCTGGCTCGTGCGGCGTTGTCATATCCACAATCTTCTCCAGGACCGCGTGTGAGCTGCTGCCGTTCGCGTGCGCACCCTTCTCAGTGGCGTTCGATGCCGTTGATGTTGACGTTGCTGGTGCGGTGGCTGCTGACGGTGCCTTGGCCGTCGCTGCCATTGCGTCTGCATCAATCTCGACATCGTCGACAACGGAGGAGGACGAGAGGCCCGTATCCAGCACCAGCCGCGGTCGCGGCGTCGTCATCACTTCTTGCTTCTGCAAATCAACCCTACATGTGCGTATGTTTGCGTGCGTGCGTGCGTGTGCGTGTGTGTATGTGTGTGCGTGTGTGATGAGAAGACACTCACGTCAAGAACAAGCGCTTTGAAATGGACTTGTGAGCACGCAAACCACGGCACCCCAAAGCATGGTGTCCACATGCGCGCAATGTATTTAACGCAGGGAGCAGCGAGTGCGTACCCAAACGCGGCTGGCTGCTGGCTGTGCTTGCGCGAGCCTGCCGCGGACGACGACCGTGACGACGGAACGGCCGGCGCACCCGCCTCAAGGTCGTGCAGCGTGCTCTGTTGTGTTGCGCGGGGAGAGGTGGTGGTGGTGGTGGTATTGAGTAGGTGCGGTGGGGGTGGTGGTGGTGGTGGTGGTATTGAGTAGGTGCGGTGGGGGTGGTGGTGGTGGTGGTGGTATTGAGTAGGTGCGGTGGGGGTGGATTGAACAAGTTGAAGAAAGCAAAAGATAACGGGGAGGGATCTATTGCAGCAAGGAGAGGCAAGAAAGAACCGCAGTGCTCACGGCCTTCATGGAACAACAATACATGCGTATGCACTGGCAGCAGGGACGCACACATGAAGGCGCATCCGTACACAACCAACACATTGTAGCAGGGAGTATCACGCATCCCACCAGTCCGTTTGTGACGCGCTGGAGGCGGCGCTCAAGAATCAATCGCGAGCCCTGGAACATCAGCCTAAGAATGACACACGAGGGACAATCGGGTGATGGTGGTGTACATGGCGTGTGAGGAACGAGGGAGCGTTTTCACACACACTTGCACGTCAGCAAACACTTTCGACTGCAAGAACACACACACACACACACACACACACACACACACACACACACACACACACGCACGCACGCACACGCGTACACAAGTGCTTTTGTGCGGACCTCTCTGCCTGCCATGCTTGCTGGAGATCAAGGATGGCCTGTTTGAGATCATTGCTGGTCTTGCAGTGGGAAAGCACATCCGCTTCGGACAAGTGGACGCCATCGCCCACACACTGCCGCAGCCACAACTTGCTGTCCTCTGGTTTGCTCAAGCGTGGGCGCGAGGGTATGACGCGCGTGTGATGTCGAGTGGGAGCGCGTGCGTGTGTGGGTGCGTGAGAAAGATGACAGCGGAAGATTTCAATGAAAAAAGCACATTCACATTCACAAGTATAGTCACACACACAAACACACACACACACACACACACACACACACACACACACACACACACACACACCGCCGACACACACGGCAGTACGTTACCCCGCCCACGGTGACTCACCCCTGTCCATGAGGTCATCTTCGCTGGAGGAGGCGGAGGGCGCCTGCTGCCACGACGACACCACGTCCAACACGGCCTTCTCCTTCTGCCGCTGCCGCAGCGCTTCCACCAGATCCGCCTCGCGCATGCGCAGACGCTGCAGCCGCTGTTGCTGCTCACGTAGGGCCGCCTGTTGGTCATGGTGGTGGTGGTGGTGGTTAGGCAGAGCGTGACGGGGTGAAGGGGGGGGGGGCGTGTGATGACGTGGAGGGCTGTGAGTGAAGTTGTTGTGACGGTCACGGTGGTTAAGAGCGTCGTGGCGGTGGTGATGATGATGGTGGTGGTGGTGGTGTGACAGGAAGCAAGGGACGTGCAAATCAATGGCAGTGGCGCTGACCTGCGCCTGGACTTTCTTCTTGTGCAGAACAAGTCGTTTGTAGTCGGAGGAGAACCGAACGACGAGGGTGATGGTGCCTTCGTTGGCGTTGATGTGCTTCAGCACGTCGGCCACCCCACATTCGGTGCATTTCGCCCCATCAACCTCCAGCACCTCGTCCCCTGGCACAGCAAAGGCACATGTAAGGGCGTGCGAGTGTGTATGCAGGTCAACATCACGACCAAGCGTGCAATGAACAAACCTCCAAGCAAACAGGCGAGCAAGTAAGCAAACATGGAGAAGAGCCAATGACGTGCAGGAGCTTGTAATATATGTGTGTGTTTGTGTTTGTGTGTGTGTGCATGCGTACCAACTCGGACGCCTGCTTTGTCGGCGACGCTGTTGTCCTCGACCGCTGACACGAACGTGGCCGTTTTCGGCACCGCGGGCTGGTGGAGTGGAGCAGAGGTGGTGGTGGTGGTGGTGGTAGAATGGCAGCATGCACGTGAGAACCAAGTGTGTGTGTGTGTGTGTGTGTGTGTGTGTGTGTGTGTGTGTGTGTGTGTGTGTGTGTGTGCGTGTGTGTGTGTGTGTGCTGACCTGTGGGATGCGGCCGCGTGTGTTGCGCTGCGGGACGAGGAGCGTTGTCAGGTCCGCCCCAAGTGGCATGCCGGGCTCCGTGCGCACGAGGAAGAGCGTGCGTGTCGGCATTGCTGACGCGTGTACCTCACGGCGGCGGCGGGTCGTCTGCCGCCTGTGTTGTGTTTTTTTTTTTTTTTTTTTTTGGGGGGGGGGCAGTGAAGTGGAGGGGTGGGAAGAGATGTGAGAAGTGGTGGTGGTGAATACTACTAATGGTGGTGGTGGTCATGTTAGTGCTGGCAACAGAGATGCTTCTGGCTGGCAGGAATGTCATGTAATTGGTGGGGAGGGGAGAGAAATGGCACGTGGGTGACAGTGGGAGAAGTGGTTTGGTGCTTACCGGTGCCAGCGAACAGAGAGCGAGTGGTGGTTGCGCATATTCCCCACTGCCGCTCTATAGCAGCGCGATTTGTAGGGAGACGGGGAGGGGGAGGCGACAAGCGGGAAGTGGGTGAGTCACACGTGTTTAGTAATACCGCTTTGCAAGTGCGGACATGCACACATACAGACACGCAGATACACGCACACACACGCACACGCACACACACACACAGGTACACACAGACACACAAGATACAAGACAGACACACACGCAGACACAGACACAATCAGGACGCACGGCTTGATGGAGCTGTCGAGGGACATGGCGCGATCAGACCGCTGCTGCTCCGAGCCGGCAACGCCGTCAGATGTCAGCATGTCCAACACGGTGGACGGTGCATCGTTGTCGCCGCCACCGCCGCTCTTGTCGTTGTTTGATGGCTCAGTTGCAGTTGCTGCGGCCTGGTCTGCTTGGTCTGCCTGGCTGTCCTCTGGCAACTGCGGCAGCGCTGCGCCATTGGTGCTGTTCTCGGCGGCCTCGTCCATGGCGTCCAACTCGGCATCCGGTGCCCACGCCTCCGCGTCCTCCTTGTGTTCCGTTGCCGCAAGATCTGCAAACGCCATGCGACACACGAGCACATTCTCGCGATCCTCCAGCTCCTGCTTCTTGGCGCGAAACCGCGACAGCTCGCTCTATGCAACGAACGGCGAGGGGAGGTCAACTACGTGAGGTCCATTCGAAAGGTGTGATTGTACAACGGGGAGAGGCGCTGAGGCGCCCCGCGTGAACGCAATCTCATGCCCATATATCAGGCAAGGTGAAACGACCAAACATACCCGCAGATACTGCAGGCGATCGAAGCTGGCCCGGGCTTGAGGATGGCTCTGTCACCATTTGTTGTTGTTGTTGTTGTTGATGTTGTTGTTGTTGTTGTTGTTGTTGTTGTTGTTGTTGTTGTGCACAGTGAGCGCTGACAAAGTGCATGACCAAACAACCCTGCAAAGTAGCGCATAGAAGACATACCGCGAGGCGTTCATTCAAACACCACAGCACTTACCGGCAGCGACTTGTCATCACTCCATGCTTCTGTTCAACCCAACACACACCAGCATGCAGTGATGGCAAGGTCTGGTCAGCATCCACGCACATATGTACGCACGCACACACAAACACACACACACTCTGTGTGTGTCTCTCGTACACGTACACACACGTACATGCACGCACACAAACACACACATGCGCGCACACGAACACACACACACACACATGCGCGCACACGAACACACACACACACACACGCACACACACACACGAACACACACACACGAACACACACACACGAACACATGCAGGAACACCACCCCACAAAACACGACTCACCGCGTTTCACTTTGACAGGTACACTGAGGGTGCCCACCCTCTTGACTTCTGGCTGCTGCGTCTTGACATCCTTTGCTCGCGTGAACGTGCGACGCAACTTCTGCAGCGGCCGGTCCCCCATGGCGGTGTCAGATTGACGTGAAGAGAGCGCAGACGGCAAACAAGTGAACGAGACAGCAAGCGAGCGAGCGAGAGCGCGCGGGTGGTGCACACACAGGCAGGTGGGTGGTGGTGGGAAGAAAGGACAAGCGAACGACGCGACGACAGCAAGGCACAACACCGTCGAATAGTGGCTGTAGATATACCACAATTTTCTTCACTGCCTGTTTTGCGAAGCGCGAACCGCAGCCGTGCACCAACCAACCAACCGAGGACAGCAGAGACGCACTCTGTCCACCAACGAACGAACAAACGAGCTACACCAAGCCACCACCCAGTCAGGCCTTTCCCTGCTACTCTTGTTCTTGTTCTTGTTCTTGTTCTGGGTTCTGGGTTCTGGGTTGTCTTTCTGGTTCTTGTTCTGTTGTTCTTGGGCGAGCGCACGTCTCTGTGTTGCATCAACATGCCATACCAAAAGCGTGGCGGTGGCCGTGGAGGCGGGGATGGAAGGCAGCAACAGCAGAAGCAGGATTCACAGCACCTCGGAGATGGCTTCGACCAGGGACCCGGCCCGCATGGCGGGCACGGCGGCGGTGGCCGATCTGGTGGCCACTTGAGCGAGCAAGCGCTAATCACGCTCATTCAAGACATCCAAGACTTGCGCAAGCGCGAAGACGCCATGGCCACCTTGAGGTATGTGGTATCAGGCGAGGTGGCGCGCGAAGGGACGGCTCATGCTGTACTTGTGGCTGTCCACGTATGATATGTGCTTGTTTGTTCTCTTGCTTGTGTGTGTGTGTGTGGTTGTTTGTCTCTTGCTTGTGTGTGCGCTTGTTTGTGCGTGCGTGTGTGACGTTTTTCGTCTTTGTATGAAGGTGTGTAGACGTGCATTTCTTCCAATACGGCCACTGCGCTTTTCCGGGTTCGCATCTGCTTGGTAACGTCTCGGCTCACACACCTATGAACATGTGGGTGACGCGCGTGTGTGGTTTGTGTGCTCTCGTTCAGCAAACACCGCGACTCTGTGAAGAAGCTTGCGGTGCTGCTGTGGCACTCGTTTGGCATTATTCCCATCCTGGTGGACGAAGTCATCTCTGTGTACGAGCACCTGTGCCCCGAAGAAGGGTTGCAGGTGCGTGAATGAATGCCTTGCATTGATGGCACTTATCACAGTGACAGCAGCAAGCACCACACAAGTGTGCTTGCACTTGCGTGCGTGTTTTCTGAACGCATACGGCTCCCGTCCCATCCCGCCCTCGCTTCATCTTGCTGCCCCTCTTGTCACTGTCCCTCACACACACACACACACACACACACACACACACACACACACACACACACACACACACACACACACACACACACACACACACGCACGCACGCACACCACGTGCGTGCCCTGTCAGATCTGATTACGCACGCACACCACGTGCTTGCGGTGTCCAACCCGCGTGTGCAATGCGCTCGCACTCCTGCAGTGCACCGCCTCCAGTCCCCGAGACCCGCACTCCTGCAGTGCACCGCCTCCAGTCCCGAGACCCGCGGCCTTTTCCTTGCCGGTGAGCGTGCCATGCGCATGCCATGCCTCGTGTCTCCTTTTGAGCGCGGCGTCGTCGCAACTGCTTGCACTTGGTTGCGTGCGTGTGTGTTCTTCAGCTATGCTTTCAGGCATTATTGGCTCTTGCCACCAACATTCCGCGCGAACGCACGCACGGTCACCCGCACGCACGCTGACACACTCCCACGCTTCCAAACATGTGCTCCCCCCCCCACTGCACAGCGCAACTG